TTTTCCCAAATGCTTTTTGAATCTTTGCTATTAAGTAAAGTTGTGTAGCAATATACAGTAGTTCCATATTACCTATTTGCTTGGCATTTCATAGTATACTTTTTCTTGGATTAGTTCAAAAATTCGCATCAAAAAATTTTCTCAACATAAACTGACGCTGGTGACGTTTTCCGAAATGTGCTAATACAACGAAAAATCAATAATTAGAGACTTGTGGCAAGTCTGCAGATTTGGGTGTGAATTTCAGGGTCATTAAAACTGCTAAGGTCCCAGACCAGTAAAAAATGGATCTAAATGAAAAAAATTATTAAATTTGGTGACGATCCAAAATAAGGTGTGGATATGAGGAACTTTTAAAGAGTTTTTTGGACAGTTAATTAAATTATATAAATGCAATTTGCGTTTTCTAAAGCGTTTAAACCAGCTGCAGCTAGGTTAAATGCAAAATTACTGTGATATGCATGAACAATGTTTGCTTTCAATCACTGAATTGCTATGAACAAAAATGCACTGACCTACGCAGGGTCGGCTCATATAGCGTGCATGGTTATAAGTCTCCATATCACCCTCTCTACCATTGCAGCTATAGTTCGAGTCTTACTAACATTGAGTTACTTTCCCTGTTTTTTCCCTTTTTTACTTTTTATTTTTTTTTAATAAATAGCCGTTGATTTTGTTCTAATATATTTTTTTTGTTTCATCCCATTTTCTTATTTTTTTTGACCAGCACTTTGGTCTCTTTCAGTGCTTGATCAACGATGTGCATATCAAATTATAACATCATTCTACATATTTTTAATATTAATAGCAGTCATAGTTTGAGTTTCTGTGACGTCGAGTATAATAATAAGCTTTATTTAAAACACAGAAAACTTTTCTCAGCTAACAATTGTTATTCTTCAAGGCCGTGTATACAACAATTTAACCAGAAAATCAAAAGAAAAAAAAATGACTTAAACAAATCAAACAATTGTTTAAACACATAAATATCTAAACTAGACTTAAATCTTAAACTAATTTAATTACACAAAACAAAAATACTGTAGTTTATGTAAGAAACTAAAATAAAGGTGTTAGCAGTTAAGTGTTATTACAATGTCGCAATTATATACTTTTTAAATTAGGACAATTTCCTTAACATTTTTAACATCATCGCTAATTTCATTCCAAAGTTTGGCACCTCTATATGACAAACTTCTCTTTTTGTAGTCAGTTTTTGGTATTGGCAATATTAATTCTGGTTTAGTTCTTATATTATAGTACTTGTTTTTAGCAGTGGCGTAGAAAAGTATTTTTCATTGGGGGGGATGATTTGTGCGTTAACCAGTGCCGTAACAGGCGCGGGGGTGGGGGAAACTGCCCCTCCCCTGACGGTTTTTACCGGGCTGATTAAGCCGTCGTACCGGGCTGGGTAATAAGAGAAAAGAAAGAAGGGAGAGGGAGGGAAAGAGAAAGAAGAGGAAAAGAAAAGGAAAGGAAAAGAAAAAGAAAAGAGAAAAATAAAGGCAAGAATAAAAAGGAAGATATCATAATGACCAGACTCACAACACCTTGCAACCCCTTCTCCACCTTCAAAAACTGTCATAACTCCTTTGATCTATGCTACCCGATTTCGTAACCACTGGGAGACAAGGGGAAAATATCTATCTTTGGAAAATCTTCCCTACCCCTTTATAAATGCCCTTTTTATCCCCTGAAAGTGCCTAAAAACCTCAAATTTTGCGTGCTTCGCGCGCATTTCTTGTTAACATGAGCCAATTTCCTCTAAAAATTGCACATTTTAGGGAGTTTTGATCAATTCCAACCTAATTAGAATTAAAAACACCGGGGGACAAGGGGAAAAAATCCATCTTTGGAAAATCTTTCCCCACCCCTTGACAAATGCATCCTCTGAAAGTGCATAAAATTCTCAAATTCTTTGCATGCATTTCTTGTTACGGTAGGTTAATTTCCTCTATAAATTGCACATTTTAGGGAGTTTTCATCAATTCCGACGAAATTAGAATTAAAAACACAAAGAATATTTTGTGCGCTTCGCGCACATTTTTTAGGGTTCTTTTAGGTTTATCCTTTTGAGTTATTTAAACACATAATAGTTCCAAACTCAAGAAAGACGAATTTAAGTTAAATCGTTTTAACCTAAAAGAAGGGCCTCAATGTGTATTGATGGTAAAAGAATATGTTTGTAATAAATAAAACCATGATGAAAATGCTTATATTTAGTTTCAAACACACGCGTGTGGCCTATATTATAAATAAGATAATCCCTATGTCGTATTGTTTTCTATATGGGGAGTGGGGTGGGGTTGGTATGGTAAATTAATAACCGGGAAAATAAATACCCACTCTGACCCAAGACCCCTGTTACGCGCCTGGTGTTAGCGCCAAATGTGTGCCCTTGTGCCCCCCTCTGAAGCTGGAAACCTTGTTTTTGCAAAATAAATTGATGCAAAATAAATTGAGGCCTAATCAATAAATTCCTCATCAACCGATATAACCTTAAACATTCTTGGAATGTCATAACACACCCTTCAGTGTGAAATGTAGCTGTGTTTGCAAGCACATCTAACATCTAAAGAAAAAAGAACTTAGATTGGTACCAGATAAAATAATTTTGTTATCAACATTATACATTATGCTAATTTTCATCTTTGTAAACGCATAAGACAGTGCAAATTATTTCTGTGACCGTCTCTTGAAGTGTGTAATTAAGCTCC